TTTCCATGCAATTAGGGCTGGAGGGACTGTTTCTGGGACCCCTTAGCTTACTGTGCATTGTGGAACTATGTGAATGGGGTGAATTCCAGCATATGCAGGGTTAAGAAACTTTATTTTCTGTCAGTGGCGTCACTAGGGTTGGTGTCACCTGCTGCAGTAAAACATAGTGTTGCCCTCCCCCCAATGATTTTTTCCTATATGCTACTAGGCACTGAGCATGCTAGCGCATCATCGCGGATCTTCCCCCCTAGCCTGCCACAGTGCTCAGTCCTTCCGCTGCAACAAGGACAACAGGACAGGGCAGTAGACACTGGGCAGGCTAGCACATCGAACTCTCTCCTGTCTAGGCTTCCACAGTGCCCTGCAGGGTGCTGAGCAGGCGAGTTTCAAGCCGGCAGTGCATGGTCATGGTGCACACCCCAAACTGGTCCCTGTAAATGATGCGGTCGATGCCGGCTTGCCAACTGCGTGCTTTCACAGATGGGGGTGACAGTGACACCACTGAGGTTAGATACCACTTACTACTTGATGTTGCCACCAGGGACATCTTAATAGTATTATGGGCCCCTGGGCAAAGTAATGCACTGGGGCCCCTACCAGACTGCCCCAATTTACGCACCTACTCTCAAGAATTGAACTATAAATAGTTGATAGAATTAAACATACAGTATATTTTTTAGTACTTTCAATAAGATCAACTTTAAATGATAAGAAAACATGCCCTAAATCAAGGACTAATCGTCACAAATATCTACACAATATAAAATGTCAGTAGAGCAGAGGACACGGTGTCAGAAGTGCAGAGTATTGGGGTCAGCGGGGCAGGAAGGGCAGAGTACAGGGGGGAAGAAGAGCAGAGTATGAGGGGGCAAGGGGGCACAGTACAGGGGGTCAGGAGAGCATAGTATGGGGGGAAGGAGGGTACAGTATGGGAAGGGAAAGAAGGGCAGAGTATGAGGGGGCAAGGGGGCACAGTACAGGGGGTCAGGAGGGCATAGTATGGGGGGAAGGAGGGTACAGTACGGGAAGGGGAAAGGAGGGCACAGTATTGGGGGGTCAGTAGGGTACAGTACAGTAGTACGAAGCCCGCAATACAGGAGCCAGCAGGAGGAACAGTACAGGTTGGGAGGGTAAGTGGACACAGTACAGGGGACAGGAGGGCAGGGTATAGGGTGCAGTAATATTTAATACAGAGATGGTCTTCACAAGCAGAGCTGCGCAGGGAAGCTGCTGTCACAGATCTTTCCTATTCTGGCAGGCTGTCACTGAATTGGAATGACATCTCCCTACTCTACCTTCCCCTCCATAGTTTATGGCTCCCTTCTGCTGCTTTCCGGGGATTTAGTAAGGACCCAGAAGAGGAGCATCTTACTACCGCTGCTGCTTGTATGAGCGGATGTGTGCTGCGCCGATCACATTGGAATGAATAGGAGAGGAGGGACAGCAGGGATCAGTGCCATACACATCCTGCCCACACAAGCAGCAGCAGTAGTAAGATGCCCCACCTCAGTGTTTCTTCCTTAACCCCTGCAAAAAAATTGGGATTGGACTGGGAACCATGGGGGTAAGGGAGAAGGAGTGTGTGTGGGGGGGAGATGGGGGATGGGTAGAGAAGAACTGGGGGATCCTGGTCTGTATAGGGAATAAAAAAGGGGGATCTGTGCTAGCATGAAGGAAAGGGGAGCAGGAGGGGAGGGTGTCAAGGAGACCGGAGAGGGATGGTCAGGGACAGGGGCGGATTGACCATTCGAGCACTCGAGCACTACCTGAGGGCCCAGGGTCAGTAGGGGGCCCCATGAAATGCCCCTGGTACCTTTTTATAGGTTTTTTTGAGTGTGGACAAGGACACAGGGGCCCCATGATCCCCTATTGCCCGGGGGCCCCATGAGTTGTCAGTCTGCCCCTGGTCAGTGATGAGCATGGGGAATACTGTTGATTAGTGAAGAATAACCATAGTATAGCAAAAGCAAAGGGGCTGGCAGGGAGGGGGAGGGGGAGAGGGAGAGATCTCCATTGAACAGGAAATAAATAATGTGGGGGTGTGCAGGGTGGGGGATTCCACTCATATGCAGTGTTTGTTGTGTATGCCGGGACATACCTGTATGAAGATGAAGTCCCTCCAGAGAACAAGCAGATGAGGGGGGAGTGAGGGAAAGTGAACTGGAAGGACTATTATGGAGAAAGTGGCGGGGGGGGGAGTGAGGCTGGAAATTAGCAGAACAATCCATCAGAGAGAGGGGCCATGGAATAGGTAGAGATGGATGGCTCAGTGTGGGGAAGAAAGGGTGCAGGACGGGATAGTGGCAAAGGCGGAAAGTAGGATGCCGAGTAGAGCGAGCGATGGAGACAGCTGAAGATGTGAGCGAAAGATAAGGAAATGGAAAAAAAAGTCTGCCAAAGTGAGGGAAACTGCAGGGAGGAAACTGCAAAGGCCCCCCATGCATCTAGGGCCCCTGGGCAGTGCCCAGGCAGGGGTCACCCCTCTGGCAGGTGTCACCTGGGTGTGGTCCGCACCCCCATAGCGATGCCACTGTTTTCTGTTACCGGTTTCCTGGCATCAACTATTGTTTGCTGTAAGTAGGTTTAGGTGATAAGCTCTCGCTTTGTTTAATCACCTCCAGTGTCCAGACTGCTAGGTGCCGGGAAGGAATCCGCTGGTTTCTTGTGTTTGTTTATTTGTTTCTGTAATGTAATTGTCTCCTGGGACTTGTAATGTGGGACATACCTGTCTAGGGGAACGTTTTGTCCTTGTTTGACTCCAACATTGCTTCTGTCTGATGCTTGGGGGTAAATTTGCAAAATTCTGGTTCCAGACTTGAAGAAGCTGTAGTTTGGCAGAGATACCCATTCGGGGTGTCAGGTAGTGGGTGGACCTTGTATACCCAGGGTCTCAGGCTACATTCACATGCTGCATGCTAGGAAAGCTTTACATGGGTTAGAATGAATCTCTGTCCTTTTAGTACAAACTACACTGAAGATGCAGCAAGAGGGATTTTTATATGTAAGACAATGTATCAAAACAGATGTATGCATGTACCTTTGAACTTTTTTAAGAGAACCAATCATTATTGAGCTTATGCTAAAACCGAACACTCCTGACCCTTTTTTTTTACCATTTTCTGCCATGAATTTGGGGTTTTAGGATTTTAATAAAATACAATAATACCTCCAAAATTCCACAACTGATTACTAAATTTTAATCTTAAATAGTCTACAATTCAACTTCTTCCAGTTGCATCTCCAATCAAGAGCTATGACTCTACGATTGGTAACTGTTGCCTATGGCAGCCAATCACAGTGTTGTTTCATTTGGAAGATGAAACCTGATTGGCTGGAATGGTCTTGTTGGATCTGTCTGCAATATATCAGCTCTAAGTGTTACCATCAGAATTCAGCTTGTACAAAATATGACCTTTACTGTGTGCATATCCAATATAAACTCTTCAGCTATAGACAGCATCTGGCCTTTTTCAGCGCGCTGTCGAGCGAGTCACAGTACTTTCCATATTCACCTGGCAGTTGAAATGAGTCTCAACTGAAATCAATATATATTTTTTCTTGTCATATCTGGAGTGGTCTTTAAGCTGAGATGTTGATGTGAAATCTGATTAAATGTTGCCCCTCCATACCTTCCAATTCCAAGAACCATCTGCAGTTCGCCCCATTCCTGACCATTCCACCGCCTGATATAACTTCGCTGCTCAGCGAAGTACCTTTGAACTTTTTTAAGAGAACCAATCATTATTGAGCTTATGCTAAAACCGAACACTCCTGACCCTTTTTTTTTTACCATTTTCTGCCATGAATTTGGGGTTTTAGGATTTTAATAAAATACAATAATACCTCCAAAATTCCACAACTGATTACTAAATTTTAATCTTAAATAGTCTACAATTCAACTTCTTCCAGTTGCATCTCCAATCAAGAGCTATGACTCTACGATTGGTAACTGTTGCCTATGGCAGCCAATCACAGTGTTGTTTCATTTGGAAGATGAAACCTGATTGGCTGGAATGGTCTTGTTGGATCTGTCTGCAATATATCAGCTCTAAGTGTTACCATCAGAATTCAGCTTGTACAAAATATGACCTTTACTGTTTGCATATCCAATATAAACTCTTCAGCTATAGACAGCATCTGGCCTTTTTCAGCGCGCTGTCGAGCGATTCACAGTACTTTCCATATTCACCTGGCAGTTGAAATGAGTCTCAACTGAAATCAATATATATTTTTTCTTGTCATATCTGGAGTGGTCTTTAAGCTGAGATGTTGATGTGAAATCTGATTAAATGTTGCCCCTCCATACCTTCCAATTCCAAGAACCATCTGCAGTTCGCCCCATTCCTGACCATTCCACCGCCTGATATAACTTCGCTGCTCAGGAGATGCAGGACTGCAATAAAACCTTAGTGAGATGTTTGGAAAAGAGGGTGTTGGATTTTAGTTTTCTTATGGAAAAATAAATTTGCGCAGCTGAAATTGTATATGGATAATCCATATCCCTCAGCAGGATGCTGTCCAATCAAGGTGGCCTTTCATGGTACGATGATGTCTGAGATGGGGGAAAAAGAACGTTCTGAAGACAGTAAAACAAATGGAAAAGGTTTATTTTTAGTAAGACAGTTTCTGTGAAGCTATAATGGATATTTACAGAAAGTATCATGTCCTCAATTTCCACCTCTCAGCATAATTTGAGGCTATAACATTTTGTTTTTCTGCATAGGGTATCTGGTGGTCGGACCCTTGTTGATTCATTCCCAAAAACTGTCGTAGAGCCCACAAAAGCTGTCCAAGGCACAAACCCAAACAGTGTACTCCCAATAAAGTATATTACCGGGAATGCCCCTAAAGAGAACACCGTGCAATCCATCATCTTATCAAATGTCCTTTTGTGCCCAAACGTACGCCTCTGATAATGCTTAGTCGTCACATGGAACGTCTCGTCTTGAAACCCTAAACTGGCGCTCAAAAAATTAGCACTGGTTAATGCAAAGGTTTTTTTACAACACAGTCTGGCAGTTGTTATCAAGTAGGCCCAACTGAGTTCCCGGTACTGACTGCTCTTTTCTAAGGAAGTCGGGAACGTTGGCCAGAGTCTGTCCAGTACTGCCGCTGCTTTTTGGACCATAAGAGCCACTGCTGTTTTTTGCCGACACAGTCTGTCCACGATACACCTGGGCTTGGTGTTCACAAATGCCGAATTTGCTAAGAAGAATGAAGACATCTCTTCGGAAGGCCTTGGTAAAGATGGCATACAGGAAAGGGTTGGCACAGGAATTAAGGGGGTAGAAGAGCACCAGAAGGATCTTCGAGTTGGATACTGTGATGAGTGGCTTGTTCGTTACGGCAGACAAGGCATAGAAGGAAATTGGCGCCATGCAGAGGAAGTCTGTGAAGATGAGAACCGCCATGCGCTTTGCGATTTTTGTGTCTTTGTCCCCAGATTTGTAGTGGGGGTTTCGTACGGTGATGTAGATCTTGATGTAGCAAGCACAGATTATAACGAACGCTATGATGTTGAGCATTAAAACAAAGATGATGTAGGCCTGGGACAACACTGTTTCTGTGTCCATCGGTAAGCAGATACTGACCTTCACATAGCTGCTAATCCCAACCAATGGCAGAAGAGCCAAAAAAAAAGCAGAAGGCCCATCCACCCAGCATAATGAACGAGGCGTGTCTGAGGCGAATCTTGCGATCTAGGCGCATGGCAAACGTTATTGCATACCAACGCTCCAAAGTGATGACTGTCAGGGTGTAGACCGAGAGCTCGCTAGCAAAGACAGTAAAGAACCCTGCTGTGTTACAGCCTGCTCCTGTCTGCCAGTTAATGGCGTAGTTGTAGTATTCGGAGCGGGTGTGGAGGTCCTCTGAGGCTATGAGGAGAAGGTAGATGCCCATGCAGAAGTCAGCAAAAGCCAAGTTACACATGAGAAAGCGGGGGGCACAGTCAGCTTGTAATGGCTTGTGACCAGAATGAACAAGACAAACGCATTGCCCAAAATGGCTAGGAGATTGACAAACCACACTACGATCCGCAGGAAGTTGTACCCCATGATGTCCTCACATGGGTTGAACTCATCAGGTTCCGGAGTACACACCAACTTCTCATTGCCGCCACAGATAATATACTCATAATGATTCTCGAAAGCTTGCGTATAATGCTCCTGGACGTTCTTTATCTCCTGCCCAAAGCCCACCTCTTCTTCCCCCTGGTCCTCATAGAAGACGGAGTAATGCCTGCTGCTGTGAAAGTCTGCAAATTTGTTATTCTCAGTCTGGTCAGAATCTCCATCCATGTAGTCTTGGAAGTACGGGCCAATGCCTGTGTAGGTCCTCAAAGAACGCTTCTTGTGGGTGTTCTGCACAGATGTCCGGTTGCATAGAAAGGCCTCCAGATCACTGCAGGTACAAGAGTAAATGATTCAGCTACACAAATGAGTGGACATAGAAACAAACATTTTATCGAGCAGAGGTACAACTTTATCTAGGTGAGCATTCCCAACCTGCTGCAGCAGCCTTTTTTTTGCCTTGTTTGTTGTATTTGGCATGTTCCCCTGTTCTTTCTTCTGGTTTAGAGCTAGTTAGTACAGTCCCCGTTTGACCCTCCCTGCTTTTCTCATGTTAGTTTAATTTCATTGCAGAGACAGGGCTTAGGAAAGTCAGTGTCTTCTTAGACTTCAAAAGATTAAAACAACATCCTCTTTACTAAAATAAAATGGCATTGGATTCATCTTCTGTGTCTTACTGAGGTGTTAAGCTGCCTGTGGATGGTGCCAAGTCAGCAAGTTGCCATATAACACAGACTGAGTCTTAAGAGGTATGACATTGCATATATTTGCATTTGAAACAGAATAGCCACAGGATGGTTACCTATCTGAATATGTATAGATATGGAAGTTGTTGAATGTCCATGGGCAATACAAGCAATCTCTGAAGATCTGAATGTTTGGAAGGGAAGAATTGATCTAAAAGGACTTTTCGGATGATTGCTGTTGCATAATATACATAATTCCATCTTTAGCTTGCTGTAGACCCCCCTGCACTGCTGAACTGAGAGAGGGAGGGGCAATACTGGGAGCCGATCAGGTTTTTTTTCGGAATTGTAGAGTACTTTCAGTCTAATACTGCAAGCTTGCTGACAAGAGGAAACAGCAGAATGAACAAAGCCATGACCTCAATAATGTGGGGAATGCTCCTTTGGTAGACGGAAGCAGGTCAGTGACCAAGCTATAATGCTTGACCGCAAATCAGGTAAAGTGTCTTCAACAATGGGTGCAAAAATGTGAAGTGCCATGTTATCTTACTTAGCTATCTGCTGGTCACTCACCTCTTCTTCTTGGTCCAGTTGGTAAAGGCACAGCAATGGCTGGGGTAAAACAGGTCAGCTATCTCTAGGTGAACAAAGGTGTTCAGAGGGGGGAGTTTCTTCAGGTACCAGGTACTCCTGGCCAACAGATGCCTTAGGTTCTCCAGCCCCTTGGAGGGGAGGGATGAGACGGCTGTCCTTGAGATGTCCCTAAGTATATAAAAGTGCAATCTTCAGTCTATCCGGTGATTAGAATTTAGTCATATAATCTGCAGTACTGAAAAACCATTGCCATAATTGCATAAAAAGTGTTAGCTGGAACTTGGCTTCAATGAATCTTACTCAAAGTCCACTTATAATAAAATAAACTGTACATCTAAGACTTTCCTGTCCACCGAGTGGACAACTGTTGTGCAATTTCACTGGAACTTGTCACGGAAACCACCAATGGGCCTGGGGGCCAGCCTCCTCCCAACTGAGTATGGACCCAGGACTAAGGAGAACCTCCTCTTGTGGTTACAAGGAACCTTTTCCCCCAAGATGGATATATCACTTCCATGGGTACCTGGCTGGCAGTGACTTATACCAGCTACCCTTTCCATGCAGCTAGGGCTGGAGGGACGGTTTCTGGGACTCCTTGGCATACTGTGCATAGTGGAACTGTTATCCTGGTGCAATGTGTTATCTGCTGGGGGAAAATTCCAGCATATGTGGGGTTAAGAAACTATTTTCCATTACAGGTGTCTGGCAAACTATTGTTTGCTGTAATTATGTTTAGGTTATAAGCTCTCACTTTCTCACTGTTTAATCACCTCCAGAGTCCAGACTGCTAGGTGCCGGGAAGGAATCCATTGTTTCCCTGTATTTGATTGTTTATATGTTTATGTCATGTAATTTTCTCCTGTGACTTGTAATGTGTGTCATACCTGTCTAGGGGAAGGTTTTTGTGTATAAATGCTGTGCTGTTTAAAGGGTTACTAAACCCAGGACTCTGCATTTACTTTGTCTGTCTCCCACAGTACACAGAACATGGACATGCAATTACTTTAGTAAATATAAACTGCTAAATACCTTTTCTCATCAACAGTATATAGCAGTCTTGTGACTACAATCAGTGTCCGGCCGAGCACTGGTTAATCCTGTTGGAGGAGCTTTCATTCTCCTCTAACTGTCCTATGAGGCTGCATGACCCCTGACCCTCTGTCTGGACAGTGCTGATTGGCCCTGTGCTGATCACATGCACCTTCCCAAATAATAAAAAAAAAACCTCTCTAGCAATACACACCAAACTGAGCATGTGCAGAGTGTCTCCCAAGGATCTGTACTATCAGCAGATGGATTGGGGACTGGGAAGAAGGGGAGGATCAGAGAAGACAGGATCAAAACAGTTTTTTTACATAATGGAGAGGATTAACCCCTTTGGTTCCACAGTAAATATAACAAGCATGCTTTACTGCATATACAGACTGATTTTACTGTTGTGAGTTTAGTAACACTTTAATAAAGTCAGTCCTGTTTTACTCTAACATTGGTTCTGTCTGGTAATTAGGGAGGTTTGGGCTGAAATTGCTATATTCTAGTTCCAGAGAGGAGGAAGCTGTAGTTTGGCGTAGATACCCAGTCAGGGTGTCATGCAGTCTGTCACAGTAAGTAGAAAAATAATAGATCTAAAGGCAGAAACAAGTTTAAAGCAGAACTTCACCCCTTTGTTCCCCATTACCTGTTATGTTGAGTTAAATTTAAAATATGCACTTACCTGCCCAGCGGATCCATCATTGTCCATTCCTATGTCCCATTCCACCATCTTGGTCCTGTTCTGCTGGTTCAGGTAGCACAGCCCCCAATGATTCAGAACTTCTGCCATTTGGACGTTCTGTAAATGGCCTCCACAGTCCCATGGGATATTTCTCCTTGGTATCCCAAGGGGCTGCAGAACCCGAACATATCATTCTGGTCTAGGTCAGAATAATGGCGGAGGATGGGGCCGCCAGAAAAAAAGAAACAAAAAAAAACCCCAGAAAGACCCCCAAAAAACTTCCTATCAATATTATGGAGGGATGGGGGGGGGGGCTGGAGGAGGCAGGCAAGAACCAAACCTTCATTTGCAGAGTGAAGTTCCCCTTTAACATATTAAGACTGGGCGGAGAGACATGAAGAGAGAGCAAAGAAGGAAAATAGAGAATGAACCAGGAGGAGCAGTGAGCAAGACAGACAGATAAAAGATGACTATTCGGATAACTAGAATCAATCATTCAGGAGTCTGACAGTGGCCCCAAAATCTGAGACATTTACTATAATTAATTTAGAGAATCCCATTACTTACAGTGTGGTGGGGCCGCTCAGTACACCAGTAAAGACCTCTTCGTGGAGTCCACCCAACTGTTGATTATTGTGCAAGTCCCTAAAAGATGGCGAGAAGAAAAACCTATTACTTCTTGGAGCTGAAAACTTGTTGTGGTTAACGGCCTGGCTCTGTCAGCGGGACATGGACCAGGCTGGGTGTTACCCCTGGCTGCTGCCTCTCTGAACTTGTTCAAACATATGGAAGCATGTAGTAGCTTTGCAGCATCTGGTTCTAGCCATGGACCAGGCTCAAGCCATATGTTTGGTCATCAGAAGTAACCTCAGATGATGACCACCCTTGTAACCTGGTGGAAGAATTATGGCCACCTTTTGAGCGTCTAACCCAACAGACAACATCACAAAAGCAAGCTGGCATGGAAGGGGTTACCTGACTCACAGCCCAGAACTGCTGCAGCGTGGGAAGGAGGAAACACGAAGAAACCCCAGAACACTGGCAAGTGGAGGCCTCAATCCTTTCCTACATTTTTAACAAGCCACCTACACCCTCTCAGCTTCCTGGCTTTGACTCTCCAAGAGTCTGCAAAATTCCAAATGTTCTCCGGCTAAGAAAACAAAACATTTCGGAGCCTTCGCTTTGCTAATTTTCTGGAGAATGGATCCTGGCGGGGACTGTTTGGGGCGACTGGCAGAGGGAAAATACTTATTAGCTGAAGTCAGATTCTGTTATGTTAGATGGGTGGCAGCAATGATGTAAAAGGAGTCCAGTAGGACAGGTAGGAATAAAGATCTGTAATGTGCAGGAATACAGATCAAGGTGAGTCATTAGAAGAGATGAGCAAAATTGAGAGTTTTAATTTCCTCAAAATTTCAGCTTCCCCATTGGCTGCATTGCAATCGATAAGGAAGGAAATATGAAGGTGTTTCTGGTGTACTTGGCTTTGTCTCCAGAGGGTTACAAAGTGCCTTTTCGGAACACAGCAATGAAATTATAGCAGGGATCCTAGCCTTCTCCTACTTTACTAAAGAACAGCATTTACAGTATACTTCTGTGTGGTAGTTTGCAATTTTCCCTCTCTGCAAAAAATAAAGTTTTGGCTGGACATACATTTTAATAGTTGTGGTGCCCCATGTGCTGCTATACAGGAAAGGTGCACAGTACAGGAAGTGCTCCAGATTATATATATATATATATATATATATATATATATACACAGCTACATACACTTTTTGGGAGGATGGAGCCTTGATCGCTAGTCAACCCCCCAACAAAAAGCCTGGAGCACACCTGCACAATCAGTGTGCTTGCTATCCACAAAACCTACACCTATTAGTGGAGACTTCACCCAACCTCCCTTTCTTCTCCCCGGTCTGTATGAAGCCTCCATGCTACGGAACCCAAATAGAATTTTACCAATCTCTATTTTACCAATATTGCCCCATATTGGTACTATATGACCATGGTCTTAAGAATTTGCTATTTAGCAAGAAAGAGCTTGGCAATCTGCAAGGTGGAGTAGGGACTGGCCAGCAGGGCTGGGACAAGAGGTGGGCAGAAGGAGCGGCTGCCCTGGGCACAGTGGTTTACTGTAGGGATGAGAGGGCACCTTCCTCCTGTTACAAGGCTGACAAGAGTAGTGACATTGGCAGTGATTTTGATAAGTGAGTGACTGTTGGGCATAGGATCCCCTAAGGTTCACATCAGGAAAGGGGGGGGGGGGGGGGTAATTTGGCATCTTTGCCCTGGGCACTGGATAACCTTGTCCTGGCACTGCAGGACAGAGAGGGATCACTTTGATGAAGTTGGCCAGCTTGAACATGTTTTTCAATATAGGTGAACTAAGGATCCTTTTATTTTAAGCAAATGTTTGCTATTAATATACAAGTCTTAGCATGTGTTGTACATATGGAAACTATTTTGGACCTGAGCACAGACAAATCTTAATTTCTACTGCATAGTGCAGGTCTTTCTTAAAAAAAAAAAAAAAAAATGTCTGAAGTTGCTGAATTATTCTTTGGTGGAGCAATAAGTTATGCTCACTGTACTGTCCTTGCAAAAACAATAAATACATCATTCTTCCATGTGGGTATACTGTGTGATATATATATATATATCACACAGTATACCCACATGGAAGAATAATATATTTGAAATGTATTTTAAAAATATTCTTCCTAAATATATTTACATATTTGAAATGCTACAATTTTGGCCATATTCAATATATTTCAAAATATATTTTAATAAAAAAAAAAATATATATATATATATATATATATATATATACACACACACACACACACACTGTATGTTGAAATGCATTTTTATTACAAGATATATGAAAACTGTTTTTAAAAATAAAAAAAATCTGAAGAATATATTTTAAAAATATATATTTTTAAAAATATATTTTTTCATATATTTTGTAATAAAAATGCATTTCAACATACAGTATATATATATATATATATATATATATATATGTATATATTGAATATGGCCAAAATTGTAGCATTTCAAATATATGTCAATACATTTGGAAAGAATATTTTTAAATTATATTTCAAAAATATTTTTCTTCCATATGGGTATATCCACATGTATACACATGACATTTTTGTACCCCATGTGCAGCTATACAGGATACAAATGTATATATATGTACATATATATATATGGATAAACAAAGGATGGTATGCGAGCGCTACATGAAAATAATGGATAGCCGCTAGGACACCAAAAAGGCAACCAAAAATAAACCTTCCAAAAGATATATAAGTATTAGGTGCAGCGCTAAAACAAATAATGCAGCATAATGAACAATGTAATATGACAAAAATATAAATGCAGAGTCATATGTCACCAATAGGTGAACAAAGTGAGTAATAGAATATAATGAGAATAATGTCCCAAAAAAGAGTGAATAAAGCCCCAGTGGGGATCTAATGAGATCCTATTGTGAATACGTGGGGAACTGATCCGAAATGGCAGATGACGAGTGATTAGGTAAATGAATGAATTGCGCACTCACCAGAAGTGCGTAAGTACACGCATTTGAGATAGCTTGTCTCCTCAGGTATCAGGTCAGCTGCTTCAGAATAGGTTCAGGATCCTGTACATCTTCTGGTCACGTCTAGGGTAGGGTGCTCAGAAGACCTTCATGCATATCATCATCAGGGGTCCCTTTAAACGCAGATTCTGCGGATGGAGGCTCTCAGTGAAGAGAGCCCAATAAGGGACACCACATAGTGTGATAACGTAGATGATTGTTTATTTTCCAACAGGTTTAAACAGGTAAATAGTAAAAAGAAAAAACCGACCATATATAATTCAGGATGGCCACCAGCGGTGGCTAGATGTCCAGTTACTGTAGCCCTCTGACGCATTTCGTGCTATGCACATCATCATAGGGTGCTGGGCTTACCAGGTCTCTTCACTGAGAGCCTCCATCTGCAGAATCTGCGTTTAAAGGGACCCCTGATGATGATATGCATGAAGGTCTTCTGAGCACCCTACCCTAGACGTGACCAGAAGATGTACAGGATCCTGACCCTATTGGGAAGCAGATGACCTGAGCTATACCTGATGAGACAAGCTATCTCAAATGCGTGTACTTACGCACTTCTGGTGAGTGCGCAATTCATTCATTTACCTAATCACTCATCATCTGCCACTTCGGATCAGTTCCCCACGTATTCACAATAGGATCTCATTGGATCCCCACAGGGGCTTTATTCACTCTTTTTTGGGACATTATTCTCATTATATTCGATTACTCACTTTGTTCACCTATTGGTGACATATAACTCTGCATTTATATTTTTGTCATAATATATTTTTCATTATGCTGCATTATTTGTTTTAGCGTTGCATCTAATACATATACAGTCATGTTCAAAATAATAGCAGTCAGACATCACTAACCGGATCAATCTCTGTTTTTGGTGGAAATGATATTTCTACATGGCAAATAATTTACTAGCAGGTGTAGTAGAGTAATAGAAATCCAACAGACCCAACAGTCATGACATGCATGCTGCTGATTCTGTGTCATTGAATCACTATTTGAAAGGGGCATGTTCAAAATAATAGCAGTGTGCAGTTCTATTAGTGAGGTCATTCATTCTTTGAAAACCAGGTGACAATTATTGCCCTTATTTAAGGAAGGAAGGCAGCAAATGTTGTACATGCTGGTTACAGTGCATTTCTCTCTGAAATTCTGAGGAAAATGGGTCATTCCAGACATTGTTCAGAAGAACAGCGTACCTTGATTAAAAGTTGATTGGAGAGGGGAAAACATCTAAAGAAGTGCAGAAAATGATAGGCTGCTTAGCTAAAATGATCGCAAATGCTTTAAAATGGCAACCAAAACCTGAAAGACGTGAAAGAAAGCGAAAAAACTACCATTCGAATGGATAGAAGAATAGCCAAAATGGTGCGGACTCAGCCAACAATCAGCTCCAGGAAGATGAAAGAAGGTGTAAAGTTCCCTGTGAGGACTGTTACAATTAGAAGAGGCCTATGTGAAGCCAAGCTATCTGCAAGAAGCCCCCGCAAAGTCCCACTGTTGGAAAAAAGACATGTGCTGAAGAGGTTACAATTTGCCAAAGAGCACATTGACTGGCCTAAAGAGAAATGGCGCAACATTTTGTGGACTGATGAAAGTAAGATTGTTCTTTTTGGGTCTAGTGGCTGGAGACAGTTTGTCAGACGACCCCCAAACACTGAATTCAAGCCACAGTACACTGTGAAGACAGTGAAGCATGGTGGTGCAAGCATCATGATATGGGGATGTTTCTCATACTACGGTGTTGGGCCTATTTATCACATACCAGGGATCATGGATCAGTTTGAATACATCAGAATACTTGAAGAGGTCATGCTGCCTTATGCTGAAGAGGAAATGCCCTTGAAATGGGTGTTCCAACAAGACAACGACCCCAAACACACCAGTAAACGTGCAACATCTTGCTTCCAGACCAACAAGATGGATGTTATGGAGTGGCCAGCCCAATCCCTGGATCTTAATCCAATAGAAAACTTGTGGGGTGACATCAAAAATGCAGTTTCTGAGGCAAAACCAAGAAATAGAGAAGAAC